TGTTATTATTATTATCACCGTTGCTCGGGTATGTCGTTTGTGCCATTTTCACTTTTGATGTCCCGAAAGATTCAATATGTCAGTTTTCTAGAATTCATATTAAGTTTTGTCGTTACTATTAATTCTTAATTTTGATTTCAGACACATTTCGCACAACTTTCTTTTTGAAATAATCAATGTTCATCAAGTAGTTACCACAGCCAAACTATCAAGTAATCATTCCCGGGTCGGGATCTTCAGATACCGAATATAGTAGTAACACGAAATATACCTCTAAAGCCAGGTAATGATAGGGTGTAATATTTACGTTACGTTATTTATTGTTAAACATACATTAGGAAATTGCGAACGTTTAGTCAATATGTAGTAGACATGCAATTCTATTATAATCTATTTTGCTAAAACTAATCATGAGGCCGAGACAAGGCTACGGTTGTAATTTATCATTTAATTAGTTAAAATGACCTATATTAATATGGGAGAGGCGAGGCGAAAGTTTATTTAGTGATGCGATTGCTAAAAGTATTTAAGTGTTGCTTTTAGATTCCTATTTAGTTTTTTACTCAGCCACGCTTTTGAGCACCGAATAGAGTTTGATATGAAAAAAAAATGTATTACAAATAAATTATCTCTTATACATAAGAGTGTCATGCGTCACCAACTATTAATATAGAGAAAAATTTATTCTCACTCCTGAGTTTAGAAATTTAAGTGTGGGAGACCCATGTTTCGGCACGAATGGGTCGGCTCGACCGAAGTCATACCACGGCCTCAAAGAAAACCGACGTGAAACAACGTTGTGTTTCGTCGTATGAGTGAGGTTACCGGAGGCCCAATTATCCCCCTCCCAAAACTCCGCAATATCCGAATCCCTAGCAATCCTCAAATTCCTAATCCCTAAAAGGCCGGTAACGCACTTATAATGCCTCTGGTGTTTCGGCTGTCCATGAGTGGCACCGATTGCTTACCATCAGGTGATCCGTCTGCCCGTTTACCAGCTGATCGTATAAAAAATACGAATTTAATAAAAGCAACAATTAGAACAGCTAAAAACAAGGCAGGAGTACAACACTATGTTTACTGACGTAATTACAGTTTGATCTAATATACTGATAATTATCGAAAAGTCCCTCAGGTTGTATGTGGTAGGTTCCATTAACCCAATTAAGTAAATATTGTGCTGCAGACGAATTTTCTAGTCATTTGCTGAAATAGCGCATTCGTGTGTGGTTGTGACTTGAGAAGATAGAAAAGAAATTATTTAAAAGAAAATGGAGTAAGTAGTTTTAGTTGGTGTCGTTTTTGTGTCTGTGAAACTTACTCTTGTGTCCGTAAAGGAGAGTTTACTGGTGATCGCTTTTATAAAATTTGTGCTGATGTTATTAATTTTTTTTTAATCTGTAAATTTAAATTTCAATACTAGAAATTTTTCTATTGCTATTGCTAACGCAATTTTACTGAAATAGAACAAAATAGTGCAAAATAGTGATGTAAAATATTCAGATATTGAAACACATCCATAACGGCGGTGATCAGTTACTATCAGGTGAACCGTCTGCTCGTTTGCCTTTAATTCCATAAAAAAAAACTTTGAGAAAATATATTTTAATGATTCTTTCCATTTTTAGTTGTGAATTAGATGGAAATGGAATGGTTATTATAACCAATGTGTATGGGGATGTATGTATTCGCAAAGCTAGAAGAAAACGTCAGAAGCTCCTGGTGAAAGAACTCATGTTTGAGTATGCAAACAACACCACTTTGCATGGTCTTCCATATGTGACTAGAAGTGGATTGACTCGGCTTGAAAAGTAAGATCCTTTTATTAAATTTCAATACAAAGTTCATTCATAAAGGTTTTTCTGTCTTTTCTTTCAACTCGAGCTATTTTTAAAGCCTAGGTAATATTAGTTTTCAGCAAGGAATTGAACGTTTAATGTGACTTAATTCTTTTCAAATCGCACAGTTCCATAGAAATAGATATTAATAGAAATCTATGATATCAAAGAATACAACATTTTGAAAATTAAATAAACAAATGTGCCACCATAATCAAGCAAAAGTGTTTTAAATAATTTATGTTAATACTTGTCTAAATTAGAATTCTCAGTATGCATTTCTTTCGTGATTTACAGGGTTGTCTGGCTTATAATGTTTCTGGCTAGTATGTGCTTGTGTCTGTTCTTGATCAGCAAAGTCTGGTTCAAATGGCAGACCAGTCCAGTTATAGTAACTGTCAGTGAACAGTTAGTACCAGTTAGTATGGTAAGATCATTTTCTTTTTCCCTAATATTTTATAAGTTTGTTCTTTGAGTGACTTAGTATATTTTTCCATTACCTAATAAATATACAAATAAACTAATCCATGAGGTTAATCAAACTTATTCATTGTTTTAATATTACACTAGAGTACTGACCGACAGACTCAAATATTTTTTTATATTTTAATATTCTGTTTTGACGGTCAAAAGTGCGTTCCTGGCCTAATTAAAATAAATGATTTTGACTTTGACTTTGAATATTGGCCCTAAGGCGTAACCCTGTGGAAAACCACAATATTGTTCTTAAACGTAAAGAAAATAGTTACCTAATAAATAAGTTTTGTTAAATTCTTCATTTATTATGAAAGGACTATTTAATTGATAATAAATAAGACGTATTTCAAAAAATATTTTAATACTTAACCGCAACCGATTTCTTTTATTTTTTTAGGTGCCATTTCCATCAGTGACATTGTGTCCGCAATCAAAGTGTAAAGTGTCAGTCTACAATTTCACCAAAACGAATATACAACTGGATAAATTAAATTATCATTATAGGCTCAATGGGAGCATTTTAAATGAAACGTAAGTTGGATTTTTGCATGATAAGCTTAGGGTTACTGATTAATTTGTTTGATTATTAGATCCTTTTAATGTCTATAAAGTCTTAGTGGTCTAATTGGGCCTCCGGTAAATAAACTCATACGACGAAACTCAACGCCAGCCTTATTTCACGTCGGTTTTGTGTGTTGGCCATAGTATCACTCCGGTCGAGCCGCTCTCCCATAATTAAGTAGATAGATCCCACGTTGTTGAATAATAAACCAATAGCTAAATGATTCTTCCTTAAATATTTATATTAAATACGTTATAATGTAATTGTTCTAGAATGATAAAAGAAATTACAAAGTTTTATGGGATATCACAAATATGTGATGCTTTCGACCCCTCTTATGTCTTAGAAGAGAAATATCGTTACACTGATTCTTCTATTGTCGAAGATTTCTTGGAGGTAAGGTATTTGGATCGTAATTTTAAACTTTAACTTGCACTATCTTTAATTTGTCTAGAAATCCGTCGTGTAATCGAGGCCTACCTGACGGACAGGTAGTACCGGGAAGAGTGGAACCGATGAGAAATGTCACGCGGTATTCCACAGGGTTTAGTTCTGGGACCGGTCCTGTCGCCCATGGGCATGACTGGGTGCTGCGCACTGACCTCCTGGATGGCGTTAGCATCGTACGCTACGCCGACAACACGCTGGTGCTATAGCGCATGCACCGGGCGGCGGCCGATTTGATGGCGACAGTGGTTGAGACGGTCGTTTAAAGAATCCGGTGGTTGGGTTTTGAGGCGGCGCTCCACAAGTCTGAAGCCATGTGTTTTCATGGCCGCGGGAACGCGCCACCTCCGGGTGAGTCCCAAATAACGGTAGAAGGGCTTATCGGCATCGAGACGACGCTGAAGTACCTGGGACTCGTCCTCGATAGTCGGTGGAACTTCGTGGAGCATTTCCGACGTTTGGCTCCTAATTGTTAAGGACGTGGGCGGCGCTTAAGCGACTCCTACCCAACCTCGGGGGGCCAAACACCTCCTACCGAAGGTTGTACTCATTGCCGGATTTCCGCTCTGGGATCTAGAGGCGATGGTGTTCGCGCGCTTCTTCTGCCTGCGTGCATAGGCACATCGCCGGGGAAAACTCCGCTGCCGCGCCAGATTAGTGAGTGGCAGGAATGGCAGCAACGACTGACCAAGGGCTGGGCACGCTGCCATTGTATCGGTAAGTCCCCTCTTTGAGGAGTGACTTGAGAGACGCTACGACGTCCTCACCTATCGCCTGATGCAGGTCCTCACCGGAAATGAGAGCTTCGCGAGGTACCTGTGTCTGATAGGGCGGGAAGAAACGTTCGGGTATCATCACTGCAATGACTGCCCTGAGAACACGGTGGAACACACCGTAGGGGCATGCCCTGCGTGGGCTAAGCACCGCCGTACTCTCAGGGATGTGATCGGCGACGGCAACCTCTCGCACCGGACCCTTGTCTGGTGCATGGTGCGGAGTGAAGAGGACTGGAATGCGTCTCCTTCTTTTGCGAAGCAGTCATTCCAGCTAAGGAGGAGGCGGAGCGCGCGAGACAGCAGCAAAGCGCTCTCTCTTCACAGCCCAGCCGTCGCGAAGGATATTTCGGGAGCCGGGGATAGCGGAACGATCTCCGGTCACCGTAAGCACGGGTCTGCGGATGGCTATCATGGGTAGCGCGACCAGAACTAGAACTGAGCGTGTGGCGTGTCGTGTTCCTCAAAGAACTATCAGACCACTACGTATGGGGCCCAATAGGCCCAATAGGGGCTGATGCCGATACGGAGCCATGGAAGACTTAACGGGTTGCTGGAGCTCTAGCTCGAAGGGTAGGAGTAGGAACGGGGTAGTTTTTAGTCAGTAAGAGTCTAACACTCCTTCCGGCCTCACCAAGGTGGAAGAAGTCATTCGATGATTTTCCCCCCTTAAAAAAAAATGTCTAGAAATCGCATGTTAAAATAAGTTGACTACCTTAAATTGCCATTTTGAATTAAATATTACTTTACAGTCTTTAGAAGTTTGTAAGTTGTTGGGAATAATTCAATGAATTATTTCAGATCTCTCCTGACTACGAGGATGTATTTTCTGCCTGTAAACTAAATGGAAACTATACAAGTTGTACAGAACTTTTTGACAAGGTGGTCACCGGCGAAGGGATCTGTTACACAATGAATTCTCTTGCTGCCGCCGATATTCTTCGGACTGAGAAGTATTTTAGTACAATTTTATTCCAGAATGTTTCATCTTCCACTTTGTCTCAATACACTAAACTCCTTTTTATTCCATGGCATTCTTCACATCGTAATATAATAATATCCATCTTAACGAGTTTTATACTTTGTTTATAAATTGCACATTTATTTATATACGTAATAAGTATATTCTAAAATACAATGGTTGATCGATAGTAATACAATTCCAATTTCCTTAAATCTGATCATTATGTGCGTGTGTGTATGTGTATTTAGTTGAATAATTTCTTATTATGTTATTCTTTGAACAAAATTATATTTAATTTTAAACATTGATTAGATTACAGAAAGACTATCTATATTTGAATTCATCGAAAAAAATAAAAGGTTGGTCTCTCGAATATGGCTACTCGTACGAAAATTCTACTGATCGTCTAAACCCATCGACATCGTATTATCCGATGCCAGGAATGGTAAGTATGTACACATAGCTAACAAATTAAAATAATCAAATCTTACATCAGGAATTCGGATAACATTTTATTTGATTTTATTTTAGTGTCCTAGAATCAAAATTGTGTCAATTATTGTAAAGTAAGACAGAGATGCTAATAACTGTCTACGATAATCAAATTAAATTGCAATAAAGACAAGAGTTAGTCTTGATAATGTCAAATTATTAGATAAAAATAATAAAAGTTATTTATATATTGATAGTAGTTATGATGTATTTACGTCTATTATTCAGACTGAGGTAGGCACACGCCGTAGAAAATAAAAGGTAACGTTGTTTTCCAAATTTGATATCACACCCTCTAACAGTGCTGCCATGAGTCAATCCGTCATCATTCCTGACGTTTTTATTTTCTGTTTGTCAGCCAAACAGAGCATCACCGGATGTGGAAATAGTACTACGAGAATATCATATTCGTGACAAACTCTGCAATGCCATTAGATCTGGTTTTAAGGTAAGATTTAAAATTTCCTTATTTATTCTATACTCATTATTTATTAATTTACACGTTTTTCAGGTTTTTCTAAACGATTTTAATATTTTTCTCAGGTATATATTCAACATCCAGCTGACCTGCCTCAGTCTTCGCTGTACTACTACGCTGTTCTTAATTCTCAAGTCTCCTCAATGGCACTTAGTTTCAGTATCCTGAACAGTTCAGATAGACTGAGGAGTTATGATGCAGAAGTGTAAGGCTTATTACACTTTCTATTACTTAGTTTAGCTTCATTTAATTAAATGTTTAATATTTTACTAGAATCATGCTAGACTTAATTGCTTTTGGTGTATTTAGTCTTATATTCTACTGTTCATTTTGTTTTAAAGATTTGCAGTGGCTTAGAGAGGATGTGGATAGCTTGTCAAAAAATCTGATCGGTTAAAAAAATTAGGTGTTAGTTAGTGCGATCTCATGCGTAAAATAAATATTATGATCACAACCCAACTTAGTGAACTGTGTTTTACACTTGTTTAGTTAGGACCTACAATTTATTTCATTGTACCTGTAATTATTTTTCTTCTATTCCAGGCGTCAATGTTATTTCCCTGATGAAAGGTACTTAAGATATTTTAAAATATACACTGCGAGCAACTGCATGATTGAATGCTTGTCTAACATCACTTATGAAAAATGTGGCTGTGTGGAGTTCTATATGCCACGTAAGTTGAAATCAATGTAGGACCCTATGTATACACACATAAGTACTATAATAAAACACAATAAATAGATGAAAATTGAACGGTTTTCTAAAATAATTACAGATTCAAGTAGTAAACAAATTTGCACCCAGTTGCATGCTGATTGTATTAAAATGGCAAGAGGTAAGTTATGATATAATATCTCGTTGATATGATTATGTTATATTAATAGAAAGAGTCTCAGTAAAAGGGTCTCATTCATATTAGTCCCCGATAAACTTATGTCGCAGATAGTTCATACAAATTACGTTCTATATTCCAATTCTGGTTAATACATAGTGGCTGAACTAAAAATCTCAGGTTACTTACGTGAATATACCTCAGTATATAGTATACTAGTAGTATACTAGAGGTATATAGTATACAAAGTAGTAGCTTTTCCGAGAAAAGCTCTACTAGTTTCGGACCACAGAGGGGTTCTTCCTTATGAGCAGCGTGTGCGGTGTCGACGATGTTGCTGCAGTAGGCTGCGCGAGTAGTAAAGCTTTTCTCAGTATATTCACGTGAGTAACCCGCGATTATTAGTTAATTTAATATGTCTCATGATAATTATTATAAAAATACATAGTGTCTATACAGATATTGTAAAATAGGTTCTAATACATTCAATCAGTATACCTATTATTTTTCAGAAATTATGCTTCACCGAGAATCGTCCCAAGGAGATTACGTGTGTCACTGCTTACCATCATGCAACTCAGTTGACTATGATGCAGAAATATTGAAAACTGATTATAATCTACAGAAATTAATCGGGACTTATGATGCGATATATAAACTTCCTGATAAAGAAACACTGAATAGGTAAGTTTAACGACATCATATTATTCTCTATTTAATATTTAATTACTTATGAATAATCGTAAGGTTCATTCAAGAAATAAAGACATTCAAACAGGAATTTGTGTTAAAATACTAGTAATTGTCCTTATCTATTTTCTCTAGTATTTTTGTCGTTTTCTCTCTCATCATCAACAGCCTATAAATGCCTAATGCTGAGCAAAGTCTCTTCTCACCTGGAGAAGGTTTGATCATTAATCACCACGCTTACTCAATGTGGGTTAGCGATTTCAAACTTATAATTAGAAATGATAAGCCCAGTTTTCCTCAAGATGTTTTCCTTTATCATTTTGTCATAGGTATCTTAAAAAGTACATATTTGTAACTCGGAAAAAGTCACATTGGTACTTGCCGTTGGTAGGTTTTGAACCAGCATCCTCATGCATGAGAAGCAGGCGTCTTAGACCTCCGTACCACCACACTTTTCAACTATTTTTTTTACTTTTTATTAATTTATTTCAGTTATAATTACTCCAAATTGGAGATATACTTCAAGAAGCCAAGATTCCTGTCGATGCGTCGCTCGGAGTTGTTTGGCATAATTGATTTCCTTTCCAACTGCGGTGGTCTTCTCGGCTTGTGCTTAGGATTCTCATTCCTCAGTTTGATGGAGATTGTATATTTCCTCACTTTAAGGTAAAATTCTCATAAAAATAGAATAGACAAACCTTATATTGACAAGAATTATCTTCGAATACTGAAATGCTACTGAATTTTAAGTCGCACCTAAGTATAGTTCTGCCACTACAAATTCTTTGTAAAAGGAAAGAGATGGCACGATACTTAACTATCTACAAATTAAAAATTTAGTAGCATTTTAATATTCAGGCGTCAACCACTTAAAGTGAATGGTAATTAAATACTATACTCGAACATAGTAATAGAAAATTTAATGTATGGACTTGACATTAATAAAGTCCGTTCGCATGTTTACAAAATCTAAAAAATAAGGGAGACATATTATTAGCTTTAATTTCTGTAATTGACGCAAACTATTGTAAACTATATTATTATGTATCACTGTTGATTTTCTAAATAAATAAAATAAAATAAAACATAGGGACGTAATTTTTTATACATCTGGTCGAGTGTCAGTGTCAGTCCTCTTGAGACCTAAAACTAAAATAGTGGCGTTGTGACCACTGATTATAAAAGTCCAAAGTTAGTATTCGTAGTAGAACTGCAGTAGTTTAATGTGTACGTAATGAGTTTATTATAATTACAGGTTATGTTGCACATTGAAGAAGGATTTGGAAGAAGAAAAAAATGAAAGAATGCAAGGGAAAGAAATTCACGTGGAGAAATATTAGTATAATTATAGATTTAGTACAAATATTCAGGAAATTATGACTGTACATTATGTAAACAAATCGACAGATAAGCCATTTACTAACAAATACACAGATTTTAAAATAAAATTTCATGTTCATAGATACACAAAGAAAGTTTCAAAACCAAACACATTGAGCAACTGTACCAATATTAGCACAAACAGGACGTCAGTTCAACTCCCGCGCATCGGATCAAAGGCACGATTTATGCGCTGTCGGATTACTTCAATTTATAGCGCGCTAACGAACGCACGTACCCTGACATCGATTATTACTAGATCTCTTGATATCTGATCGGAAATAGAATTGAAAAACATTGATATTTATTGGAAATCATATTTTATTTGTTAAAGGTGATGTATTTCAGGTCAAAGGTCACGGCTCGAATTTTCGTTGTTGCCTTACCTTCATTAAAAACATTTGCTTAACTGTATGTTTAATTTTTCATATTCTCCACATTTTTTTACCAAATCATGGGTAATTTAGTTTAGGACCATTCACAGAATAAAGATATGTAAAATAAAATATTGAACAATAAAATACATAATTTAAAGAATTTGTCTAAAGAATAATAAATTAGAACATTAAAGAATATCCGAACGTATTTTACATTGAGCAAAACACTTGAAGATCAAAGGGTGCGCACGCGCAGGAAACACGCAATCGTCTGTCAATGATACAGAACCGCCTTTCAGTGCCACTTGAGGGCTGAGTGGGCCAAAATGTGACGTCATAGATTCTGTACAATATCAAGTAAAACAAGATTGATAATACCTACAAATAGTGGTATAATCATTCAATGAAATTTACTTTCAAAATGTTTAGTAGTTAGAATTTTGAAATTTGTTGACCTTGAAATATTTTATAGAATATAATTAAAAGGTAATTTTAAAATATCACACACAAAAGACTCGAAGAGTCAACCTCCTTATGACAGTTCAGATATTTAGCGTATAAAAAATAGTAGTCAAGAACTAGACAGTCGAAGATGCGTTGATACTAAGAAGTACTTGATCTGACTTTGCTATGAAAATTAGCAAAAATCTCAGCAAAGACCTTTTTTGCCTGACTTGAAATTCCTACAATAAAGGTCAACATAAATGGCAATCCGAACAATCAGCATTGATCCTAAGATAATAATAATATGATTATCAAAAATGGCGTCACAAGACAAGATCCTACTACACAATTAGCGGGCAATTACTCTGCTGATACCCTGCGGCTAAAGGATAATGCAAGGGCAACAATTTAGTTCGGTGGCCATTACTGCGTTTGTCGGGTTAATGGGTAATCAAAAAACAGCTCGTAAGTGGCCCACTCTTTGTTCCGCTTGCCCATTGTAATTGGTTAAGGCTGGCTTACACATTGTCTGTTTTAGGTTCGTAGGAATTTATTGTGTTGGAAATGCGATGGGAGGCTTATACCTATTAGGATTTTGGGCTTAAATCATGATTGTCGTTTAAAGATTATTAATAGTACCTATTATGCAGTTTTGGTGTCACACTCAGTGTTTTCTTATAATCTCTCTTATAGTGGAGGTAATAGTGTAGGATCTACTTAAAGCCATGTGAAAAATGAATGATAAACTTCATCTGTGTAGTTTGGTTTATGCTTGGGCTAATAAAATACATAATCTATGATTATTTTTACAATTTTAAACATACAACAATATTGTCAAACAACTTGTTAACATAAGTAACAAAAAAAAAATGTAATATTACTCTCAGAATTTATTCCATGTAAGCCGAGCCTTCACAACCATCTTATTTCGCCATATGATTAATTTTTTCTTCGACGTTTTTGCGTCAATTCTGTTAAAATTACTGATGATTCGAATCTCCATCATTGCGAAGTGATTGATGATACCTAGCCCCGGGTAATGAGAGGCCACTGTTGAATCAACGTCTTTGTTTAATCAATTCATATACATTATGCACAGAATGATTGGATCTTTCGAAATCTTTGTATGGATTTCTAATTTAAAAGGCTTGCCATTTAACTTATAATATAAATGCCAACATATTAAACTACTCTTTTATAGGATAAACCGGTAAACAAGCCGACGGATCACCTGATGGTAAGCAATCGGCGCCGCCCATGGACACCAGAAAAACACCAAGGCGTTACAAGAGCGTTACCGGCCTTGGGAATTGGGAATTTGAGGATTGTGGAGAATTCGGGGATTCGGGAGACTAGGGAGGGGGGTAATTGGGCCTCCAGTAACCTCACTCACATAACGAAACACCTCGTAAACGTTGTTTCACGTCGGTTTTCTATGAGGCCGTGGTATCACTCCGGTCGATACCATTCGTGCCGAAGCATGACTCTCCCACATATTCAGTATGTCCCACATATTCAGTATTCTTTTATATAATTATTTTGAATCTTATTACGTTTGCAATAATGTTCCAAATACAACAAAAAAGCAATATGCAATGTAAATGTAAAAACAGTTTATATTCTTCTCACCTAAGTACTAAAAATACACACAATGTACTTAGCTATGAGCACCTACACTACAATTTAAAACACCTTTTTCCTAAGAACAGTTTCCGTATCACAATATAATGACGTCACGTTACACCTACTTCAATTCGAAACATCCTATTTCTTGCCAACACCTTCTGTATCATTATGACGTCCATTTCTCAGTACCTAAGTCACCACCTTAGTATTTGTATACCATCGCCCTAGATTCCGACAAAAGGTTTATTAAAACCACACACCTATTCATACGCCCCCATCTTCTAGGACATAAAGGATCTATCTAGACTTGTATCAGAAGGCTATTGTGCGTCTAATGCGTTCTATTTTCTTCTGAAACAAGATACCTGGGCTGTCAATAAGTAGCAAAGTCCTTTGTTGAGATATTGCAAAGATGACGCAAATGGAAAACCTGTTTTTGAAATAGAAAATCTTAATGAAGAAGAGAATATGTATGTAACATCGATTTAGATCTTTGTGGTTCAATGAAACAAAAAAAAAACTATCTTTAATTATCTTTAGTTGAAGCTAGACAAATTACAATATGATGTGACACGCTTAAGAGATGTTAAGCTTTAAACTGTCAAACACCAAGCGGTCACCGGTGACCGCAACCTATTGTTCTATAATTGTGTCTACAAAACCGGTACTCGACGAGTTAAACACGTTAAGCTAAAATCAAGGAAATGCGAATCGAATTATTTCGCAAAAAAAATACATGACTATAATTTGTGACCGTATTACTTACTTTTACTTCATCACTTTTCGCTTAACCACACTATAAGTTTAGAAATCTCTTTATTGTATTTAAGTCGAGGAGAAGTCTACTCTCTTTATAATTCAAACATGCTGTATAAAACCACCTGGATAAAATTATCAAAGCGATGTATTGAAGCCTCAAAAGATTATTACATCGAGAATTTCAACTGTCAAACTGAGTGGAGTGTTTACACTGTAGCAGTCACTTGAACGAGTCAACTCGACCGCTCGACGGTAGCCGGTGTTTTGTTTACTCTGCTATGCCAACAGTAATGTTGAGAGCAAGTGAATAATTGTGCGCTATTGTTGGGACAGGATAGAGGTGGAATATGATAAAGAAGATGTTGTCGATGTCGATAAAATACACATATTTGAATACGTAGCGTTGAGATTCAATTTAACCGTAAAAACACACGAATTAAACTGTCAAACACCAAGCGGTCACCGGTAACCACAACCTATTGTTCTATAATTGTGTCTACAAAACCGGTACTCGACGAGTTAAAGTGCAGTGAGTGTGCATTCAGAATAATTGTATCGTATTTACTAGCTGATTACGGTTGAGGTTATAATCCTAATTGTCACTTGTACTTACATACATTTCATGGTCATTAAGATCTTTAGTTATTCTCGTTCTAATACGATTTTTCACTGCTACAAGAAATAATGTGTTGAGATTGTTCCTTTACAGTGTTGGATATTTTAAAAATCAACTGTTCGACAACCATAACTCCTAGATATAATTAGTCGCATCCCTAAGCCATAACGAATACAAACACTTGAGAGTGAGCATAGTTTTGTATGATCGATGATCGGAACGAGACTCGCGTCCAGTTAATCGTGTTTACACTCTCAACACTCGATATTGACATTTTAAAAATCCGCGGGTGGCCAGCTACTGTTTGCTTTTTACCTATGATTTGAACGCTCCTTCAAAATTAAACGTATTTATTTTTCGATACTGATTCAAATTGAGCTCTACTACATGAAAAATTGGGTTTATTTTCACTTACAAAGTCTTATTTAAACAAAGATCTTTTAAGACACGCGTGGGCTTATTTGGTGAAACAATAACTTTTGTAAATACCAAGAAATAATATTGGGTCTTGTAAGTATAATTAAGAGACCACAAAATGCTTTCAAGTTGTACTGTAAACAGAAGTTTTGCGAACGTTGAAAAGTAGTATTTAAAGGCATTCGTCGTAAATTAAACTTATTTACAGGTTTTTAAAATGTGTATTAACATTAAACGACTTAATTACTTGCCTTGAAAAATAATCCTCAAACATTCAAACATGATTCGTTGTAGGGTGACTAATTGCACGACGCTTTTAGAAACTGTCCCATTTATTACTCGACCTGATGATGATGATAAAAATTGTTTTATGGGACCTAATGTAGATTAGTTGCTTTTAAATTAGTAACATTAAATAATGAGCGTTTAATTTAAACTTTATTGAAACGTTATTTTTAGTTTAAATTAGGGGTGTGTAGTTTTAATTATTCATGACTGTGTGGCATAAATAAATAACAGGTAGGTTTAATGAAAATATATAATTAAATTACTCATGATTAATGACTTTTGATGTATAGGTGCCTCGTCGGCCGAGTAGTCGCAAGTGCGACTGCCGGGGAAGGGGTCTCGGGTTCGATTCCCTGGTCGGGCAAAGTACTATTGGGTTTTCAAAAATTCTCAGTAGTAACACGGAGTCTGGAATTGTGCCCGGGGCTCGTAACATAAATAGTGGAAAGTGGGTGTTACATTGTACAGTGGCATAATGAAAACCT